AAAGTAACCGTTCAGGGGAAAAATGGACCTAGTATACAAGATAATATGATAATATAAGTATAACACGCCATGTGGAGAAGCGTTCCAATAAACTATCTGAGCTACGTGAAATTGTTATAACTATGTAAGTTTGAGCTTGGGGATGCATCACTAATATTGTGCCCATCCTTTCCCATATGGTCTACTTCATTGACACAGTTAACTCCACTTTGTTGTATTTTACTGCTGCAACGATAATTGCGGGGAGTTAAAAAGTGACTTGTTTGAATCACGAATCAAATATAGCTCAAAATTTAACAAAGTCATACCACACATACCATCAACCATTTGTGAATGACTACCTCTAATATCGTCTCTCCAGAAATTTCAGTCGTAATCACATGGTTATTTGTAGTCCCAGAGATCGGAACGAGAGTGAAGTTGTAACGTGAAAAAAGAATTAAATATAGATCTACAGACTAGAGTGAGTCAATCTGCTATTCAGTGCAAAAATAAACTTAATTTTGATTGATCCATGAACACCTAAAACCACCAAGATTGAGGGCTAAAGAACAATTTTTCGGATACATTACTCACCACCAAACTAATAAAGAAATACGGCAAAATTACTTATCTTCATCTGCTAAACTAGATGATTCATGACACAGAATCTCTTAATCAACAATTACAAGTTTACTTCATTAGTACAGTGATAGTGGCACGACATCGAAACCAACTCTCCGGATAACAATAAAATGACCCAATGTCAGTTATACTCTTGTTAGACGTTATCACCAAACATGAGTTTCAAATTCCAGTGGTTCGCGTCTGACCAGAACATACCTTGTGTACTACGGGGTCGTGCAGAGTAGCCTGAATAGGGAAAACTGGGAATGAAAAAAAGGAGGAAGAGGTTGGCCGATGATCTACAAGAAACATCAAATGTACTTACGCTTGATTAGAGTAGAAATAATCAACAACAAATGATCACACAAGCTTAGGATCCAGATAGTCTTGAAAGCAAAACTGGTAGTAAGTAGAGAGAATGTTTTCAATTGGTAGGCATAATATTTACAAACAGAACCGCAATACTGAAATGCCGAGTCCAGTACTTTAGCTCCATTGACAGATATTATGAGTTTGTAGCGAGTTGGGACTAATGAACGCGAGATATTCAAGCCGAATCCCGTTAAGGCCGAATACCAAAAGGCAGGCTGTAACTGGAGAATGAGGTGTATTTATTACTGTTCTCGTGATATCGATAAAACATCCGAACAAGGGATTCGAAAGCAGATAAATCCACCAAGGTCACAGATCAGTCTCAGTAGCACGCCGAGCAGTCGAATAACACATAAACACAAGCAGTACAATAAAACAGTAATTAATACAATGGTGTACGATAATAAATGTTTCCTTTTCACCAGTTGCGTTCTCTTCGTGGAAGTGTTCCACTTCAAGTTCCAACAGAAAAAAAACAAAGGGTTGAATAAACACATCTTCGCTTTATTGAAAAGATTATCTGTTAATTTGTGACTCCTCTTCAGACGAGGAATTCTCGGTTCCGCTCCTCTCTCCTTTCTCTTTATTTTCTTTTTCAACACCTCATCCTACTGCTTGAATATTAGTCTTGATATTGATGAAGACTTGCTTGATTAACCCAAGAGCCTGTCAAATTATTTTTATTAATATCTGGCGGATTTCAAAATGAGTATCATCGCACACTAATCACTGCTTGTTGTATACAGAAGTGGATTAAACTCGCATTGATTCCCAACTAGCAATGGTTCGTCACAGTGCAAGCGATTGCACATTGCACATACCAGAGTGAAACATCATTTGCAATTTTATGTAAAAAGTATTATCATCTTTAGGGAGCCATTTATCTTGTTAATTATCTACCTAACTTAACAAGCTTTTACAGAAAACCTGTTAGCAATTTAAGATTGTTATCTTGCCTGTAAATTATCACGCCTCTTGTGACACGTGATATGAGTAAAAATTATTATCATCGATTAACACGAATAGAATGAAGCGTGGTTTTCATATGCGAAAAAGGGTTGCTTTGACTGTAACTTCGAGCAAGAAGCTATGGAATTCATTGGCTTGTTGCTTAACTTCGGAAAAACATATAAGGCTAATCACTATTTAATCATTAATATTATTATGGGTGACGACATGTAGTATAAGACATCTCTCTTTCTAATACCTACTTAATAAGCAATTAGTTAACCGTTTCATCAGACAGTACTCAGTCACAGGGAGAAGTGACTAAATAAGTGGCTCCACTTCGTTACAGTGAATTCGTCAATAGCTTTTGTTGTAACTTACCAATGAAATCCCTCACTTCGGATTTGTTAAGAAACAGATCATCCGTTAAACTTACAGCATTTAGTATGTAAATTTCATCGATGTTTACACATTACATTTTGTGATCGTTATTGATATCTACTTACTGGCAACCACTAGAACCTAAATGTTCACTACAGCCTTGAAAACAATGAGCTTCGTAGCCTGATGCTGGAAAATAAAGTAAGGGAGGAAATTAGATTCAAAGTGAAGAGCAGCAATGTGTTGACACGAATGTGAGGTGTTAGTGTAGTAAATGAATTAGCCAAACTTTCTGATTCACTGAAACTTACGAACTATGTTACTACCAAGACGAAAAATTTTGTCTAGACCTACTTGTAAGATCCATTTTGGATGGCTTTGTCTGTGAAAATCCGTCCATGTATACATTTGTAATATGTCCTTATTGATCCTTTCGGTTCTACATTTTGGTAATCTGTTCGATCCCGTTTTCAGATGATAACAGTTGTAATTTATTTTAGTTTCTATTTTTGTGCCTTTACTGAGTTTCTACGTTTCTTTCTGAACTGCATTATGTTGTTTAAAGTGACGCTTAGTTATGGCGAGAGCCGTATTGATTTTGTTCCTCTGGCAGTTGGAGCGCTTACACTGACTGGAAAAGTGCAATTCGGATTGGAAATTGGAGCATTCTTCGAGAACTGGAAACACTGTGTTATAAGAGGGATAGAATATCATTTACTTGAATGTTTGAAGGAATAACGTAGTAATATAGTTTAGGTAATGATGTATATTTATGTTTAAGATTAATGATAGAACCGTTGCTTACCCAGATCACTTGTTTTTGGCATGACGCGTATCTATACTTCCTGAACAGTTATTCCTAAATTCAAACACCAGTTTTGATCTTACACTACTAATAAATCATATTAACTCGACATAACGCTGAACAGTCTACGCATTTCGGAGAGAAGTTAACATGATATGGTGGATAGTGTTATAAACTGAGGTGTGCGCATTTGAATGCAGTGTGGTAGCATATCTGACTATAGGATCTTGCCTGTAAAGTGTCATGTCCCGTGTAACACCTTGTTGGTTGAGAATAAATGTCATTATCAATGTCATTATAATCAGTCAACGAAAAGTCTAGTAAACAGGGAACGGTATATTAGACTTCAGTAATACTATCAACATTTTATTATCTTTTAGCATGATAACAGACTTTCCGAAACACTCCGAGATGCTCACCCCTAAAACCGTATGTTTTTAGGCCACTAGAAACAAGTAAATCCAACTGGTATTGGTGATGTTGTCTTACAGATGTTCTGAAGAACTCGACAGTTTACTTACATTCGGAACTATTGACTCATTAGAGCGCCTCAGAGACTCTCCCACCGGCACGCTTAAATAGCGATCGTATCCGGTGGATATAGTCATCTGTAACACATTACTGATAAGACAGGGAAGGTTTACTATCTCTTCGAGACTAGTGCTAAGTTAGCTTCTTTCCCGCATATATTAGGGATAGCATACAAGATACTATCTTTGGTTGAAAGGCGACAAACGGAAAACTGACTTCCTCTCATCATTACTACCAATGTACCCTGCGAATTTTCATGCATGAACTTTGGTTTTAGAAATGATGTTCAAACTGTCCAAAGATCAGATGGTTATATATTCAGAGATCTTGACTCTGTACACTTTTATGTTGATGGCTATCTGGATATAAGCCCTGTTTTCGAGCATCAGCAGAACTCAGGATTAGCGTCAGCATTCACTATTGTCAAATCAGGACTGGCTCTCGATTTTCTCTGGAACTCCACTGAAACTCATGGTATTCACTCTCTCTGGATTACTGAGAACCGAGCATAATCTGTCAACGACGTTTCATGCCAAGCCGCGAGCCTCTAATAAAATTACCAACACATCAACTTCATGGATTTGTGAAAATGATCAAATTGGAAAATAGTGCTTGGGAAGCATTTTCTGCGGTAAAGGACAGTACCGTCAACTATGCTTGCCACAGTGTAACTAGAGAGCGCTTTATAACCATCGTAAACGCATCAAACTCAGCTACGGAAAGAGCTCTACAACATTTTTTATTCAGTAATATGGAAAGTCGGTCAGTTGGTGTTACGGTGGATATTCCTGTGGAGATCTAGTTTCTCTTTAAAACTGGGCACTGATTAGATAGATACCGCTTTCCTTGTTAGTGTTCCAGCATTTAAACAAGTGAAAGAAAAGAATGGTAAACACAGGTATGGATCGTAGAGACTGAGTGTAAAAGATGCGTTCCACAAATGGTGTGGGTTCTTAATTGGTTGTGAAAACTGTAGAAGTTAAAGGTTTTGACTTACCACATCAATCTTTTCTGAATATCTAGGACTATTACCTTTAAGCAGAATGAAGCCGATTTACTGAACGAAGTTATTGGATATTGATTCCAACACATCTTGACTATCATTGGTCAGTAACTGGGATGAAATTATCCCCTAACCCATTACATGCTGGTGTAGTTTTACACATGCTCATCACTGACTTTTGTTGGTTACTTTGTCAATAAACTTGATTACAGTGCGTGGCTGCTGACTTGCCGGTCCACATTATTCTGCCTGCAGTACCGTGGTGATTAATCAGTTGTCATCACACTACACTTGCGTAAACGCAATTTACCTAAACACACTACCAGCTGGTCGTTAGAATTACTGTTGTCATTAATGCGTAGCGTTTCAGAAGTACGGGAATTTCTTTCGTTAAGTTCTTTAGCACGAAAATCCTGATCCATATTTTGAACCTGTTATTACTCTTCCTCCATTAACAGTCTGTAATTCCGAAGAGAATGAAGAGTGCTTATTCAAGCAGTATTTCATATTTAAATGAGGTTGCTTGATCTTTCAGGAGAGCACAGCTGTTCCGTTTCGATGCGGTTGACGATCCCCCAGAATGGAAGGAGCGTGGCATTGGAATACTGAAAATCCTACGTAACAAAACCAATGGGTGTTATCGCTTATTAATGCGTCGAGATCGCACTTACAAGGTTTTTGTACACTTTAATTTACAGGATTGTAGGTTTGTGCCAACCATTATCTCTCCAAAAATATGTATCTGCGTCCAAACTGCAGCAGCAATAGAGCCTTTGTTTGGAGTACAATGGCTGATTTCTCAAACGAAGTGGTAAAACCAGAGTCATTGGGTGTTAGATTTGCTAACTCTACTTGTACGTATTTAATATTTCCTCAGACATAGTGTTTTTTTATTAATTTATTTAATTGCAAAAAATATCACCAAATATGACTGCTTAAATTGGTTTAATTTCGTTTCCTTTGATCCCTAAGACGTTATGTTTTTAGTATCTGAGGTTCAAATCACCTAAGTTTTATTTTCAAGTTTAGGTTCTATGTCGCTGTAATGTATACCAAATAAGGCAATTAAGTCAGTCACTAGCATTCAGTTGAAATTAATTTCCACGATACAAACAAGTGATTGAATTAAGGTGGTTATTATCGTACTTATTCACTGCACAAAGTCTGGATGATACTGAAAATCCGAAATTCTAACCCTCAGGACATTAAGGAAACAAAATCGTGATACCATTTATGCTTCCGTATTTTGACGAATGCAAATATAAACGAACCTCGAAAACTTTTGTGGGGCACTTGTTTGCCCTTTTAGATAAAAGTAGTCAATATGTGAAGGTATCACTGCCAGTTTTATTTGGTTTGAAGGGTTCAGTAAAAATAACTGTCATACAAATAAAGTAAGATTCCATAGAGTTTATGGATTCTTGTTTTATTTCTCACCATTTTATAAAAATAAATGTATATATATATATATATATATATATATATATATATAAAGATAGATTTGAAATAGTAAGCAATTAGTACATACCATCCACCACAATCGGCCTAGATTCTTGTCACTTCGCATTTACCACATAGAGTTCTAGGATAAAAGATTTCATTACTCGAACTTGGTCGTTGGTTACAGAAGCTCACGTTACATCACAATGTTATGATAGCCTTCTTTCCACACTACTCTAATTCCTGGGCGCAAAATGTCCCTTCTAGTCCGGTTACTGTTCTCAATGCTGTCATCTTGAGTGCCTTTTCTGGAACATGGCGTGTTGCATAGATTACTAGGTAGTTCAATTGGGTAAAAATATAGAGATTTGAGATATGCCGTCTGTAGGCTCACCATCTTAAGGATATATTCCAAAGCATGTATGACTTTTTCTTACGATCTTCATTTTATTTTGGTCACTGGCATTAAAATAACTTCCGATTTTTTCTTAACGTTTTCGAATAAGCATTTTACGTTCCATGAGTCGACTTATTAATAAGTATATGTATGCCGCATCACTTTGTGACTTGTTATATGATTAATAGAGACATATTAAACTCGTGTGCTCCCTTCATCTTTTTGCTAATCGAAATAGTTCACATTCGGTTTTGTATTTTCCAATTAACTAGTGAGACAATAATGTTGACTTTAGAGTCTCTCACTTCTAGCTGACCATGACGTACCCCATCACACGTCACAAGTACTCTGTCTTAGGCTACCGGACTGAGGTGTCATGCTGTGGAGACGTGTTAAATTAAGTTCCCAAGGTGGTCAACATATAGGTTTGATCATTTCGTTAATAATTTCTGCAGGTTTATTCATTTCCTATTTTGATATGTGAATGATAGTTATAGGTTTCACTTCTCTATCTCACTCTGCCCTTTCACAATATGTTTATATATTCAGCTCTAAGTATTAGCTATACTTCTTTTGTTACCACTTTAATCTGCTAACTCTGTGTTCATGTTGATCGCAGCTGGTGCATACTTGTGGAAGGTACTACTTTGTTTACAAATATTCATAATCCAGTGAATAATAACTTTGGTGACCTGCTTCAAATCTACATAGTATTCGTGGGTTACTGGTGTGCAATCATAGGTGTCTCGGGAGCATTGCTCGTTTATCTATCGAGTAAGCAATGCAGTTGTTAGGAAACGGGTACTAGGTAAGGATTGCAGACCGATAGATGAAGTACTAAAATTTCCTCAGTTAAGGTGGTTGGGAAACGTTACGAATGTCCAACCACCGACTACCTCGTCGGGTGATATTTTATGGTGTAGGAGTAGGTTGGAAGAAAGCTAGGGACGGCCAAACCAAAACATAGTACTAATCCCGGAAGTTACTGATAACTGGACAGAAGCATGCTTTTAGGTACAGACTACTTGGTTGGGGTCCGCCTAACAATAGTAACCAGTGGTTAGAAGCTTTGAATGACATGGCTCAAAACCTTTTGCAATGGCGCAGATGCATCCATTCTTTGGCTTTTCTTAAATTCCAATCCACTGGATTCTTCATTACATTCATCCTCCTCTTTTTAAGCGTATTTCACACGATTATATTTCTTGAATAATATCTTCGAACTGTAATATCTCTTATTACTGCTAATACTTTTAAAATCCCTACCACTATCGTATTTGAACTCACAGTTGCATCTTTGTGCCAATGTGGTATGGCAACTTGAACTGATGTACGTAAGTACGAAGTTTTACGTTGTAACTGAATGACTCACTATGCACTTAGGAAAATCGCGTAATTTTGACTCGTTAGAGCATAAGTCTGTAGTCTGAGAGGTTATGTAGAAAAACACTCCATAAAATTGTCTCTTGGCATAGGCTTATCCCTCGTTTTTAGGTCTAGGTTTTTTACACCGAAACGCACGCCACTGATACGATTTGGTTACCTGGACAGAAGTAGGCGTCTCAGAGTTCGGAACTGGTACTTACTGGTTGGGAGTCAAGTTTTCCAGCCCTGCAGTCAACCTTAAGCACAATTTAACCAAATGATTATCGATCATTGAGAAAATATTGAATGCATTATTTAAATGTCTTTCAATGGAATTTGCTGTATATGAAACATACGTAGTTACTTTTTCTACGTGGTACGACATAGTAAAAATATTTGCTACTTGTTTGAAGTCATGTAGGTAACTGGATTCTATATTAGGATGCTAATTATGCCAGGGAAATGGTCTATGCTCAACTTGTCCCCTATTACTTGTATTATTGTGATGCCATCAGCCTTCAGAAAGGTAGCTTATGTAATGTTCAAGCTTAAAACGGTGTGTTGGGTTCTACGTTGCTCATGACTGACTGCACGGTGGCTTATAGCATAACCTCTCTCTCCTGTATATCTGACATTCGCTAAGCATGCATAAATCTTTACATCACTGGTAACCTAAGTTGCAAGTTAGTCGTGTTTTTTGTTCCCCCTGCGGCTTTTGTCATTCAGCTATTATACCTAGTAGGTCCACTTGATTGACCTAGATCCTGAATCAATCCATTCTGTAATTTCAGTGCGTAAGGACTCTGTACTCACATATGCCTTAACCACTACTTCAGAATTAATTACCGCTCAGTGTTACTGTAATAGTTGTCTTCTGTTTCATAAAATTCTATGTCATGATGACTAGTGTGCTAGGCAATCCTGGTATTACGATGAATAAGCGACATTGCATTTCCGGTTCTTTGTGGAATAAGCTTATCAGTTAAATGAAAAATTTATTTATTTTTATTATTAAGATGCAGACGAGTTTCGGAAGGTTTTCGAGGAAGGTTGTCAGGCAACTGAGGAAAAGTTAACCGACAATAGTAAGTTATTATACAGTCATTATGCTATGTTTATGCATATTTTCAATACGATAGCGTATATTATTGCATGTACACATTGTTTGTTGTTGATGTCGTGTTTGGTGTTCTTTGGTGGTTTACAGAGGAATTCGTGACATAGGTTTTTACATTTGAATTTGTACATTGCAATAAAGAGTTTACTAACTGAAGTTTAAGCACTATATAACTGTAGGTACTATTCATTTACTGGGCGTTGTTTGTCGTTTTGTTTTTCTACAATTTCGGCTACATTAGATCATGCACTTATGTGCTGTATTCCAGTCACTTGTGTGCTTTCTTCTCTAATTGGACAGTAAGAACATGAAGGGAAAACTTTACTCTCAGCAAACACCAACATCAAGCATCCAATAAAACACTGTTTAGCTTCGGATATAATCGCCATAGTGAAACAGACCATATCGATATCAGTCATAGTTATGGGTCCTCAACGGAATATTGTTGCTCATTCGGGATCACACAATTGTCTGTGTCTTATTGAGACTTAAAGATCCGTAAAAGTTTTAGCCAATGGTGCAAATGGTAATACTTTTAAGGAAGAACTAGCTAGGGGTTTAGTAAATCATAAAAGGGCTACTTATCGTAAGACAGCCTGGAACATTGCGGTACAAAAATACCAGCTATGTCTGTTAGCAACCTAAGCGGAATGATGAAGGAGGATCAGTGGACTTCAAAAGCCAGTTTAAAAGAACACGTTTATAACCGAAATAAAAATCATTTGCTTATCAGACTTTGGATAGTGTTTTAAAAATTACTTGTGGCAATCATGTTAAGCACGTAAATTTCCATAATACTAGACTATCTCATTGACTTATTGATAATAATTTGATACCTCAGGGCTGCAGACTACGCAGCTTTATGGATCACTTTTTTTAGACTTTATAGATCTTATTTAGTATAGCTCAGTCTGGTTTGTAATTTACTGCTTTTATTATATGTCAGAATCACCTCAAAATGTAATTGACATAGTATATTATCATTAAGATGACTGTAACATCCAGGACTAAATTCATTCTTTTTTAGTGGAATCATATGTGCTATCGTTTGTTAAACGTATGAGAGAACCTCTGAGATTTAGCCTTTTTAAACATTTCACCTGCCCATTAATATCGCTCCCTAAACCTGCGTAGACGTCCCACTACAGTTTTATCAAACTGTTGTGTAAGTTAATCTAAGATGATTACTATGCACCTTGGTACTTTATTAATATTCATTAAGAAATCCCCATTTTGTAAAAAATGCCATACGACAAAAATAACGTAATCGCTAGTTTGAAATAACTGTTAAAGAAATTGTTAATTTAATTAATTTTAATACTGTGGTTTGAAAATGTAGGGAGATGTACAGAAACAGCAGATAATAACCAAAACTGTTATACTGTCGGTTCTACCACACCTGTTACTGTTAAGTTCTTTTATCAGTGATTGTATCAAGTTGGAAAATAGTAACCGACTTCAGAAAGAATGTTACTTTACTTCATTTTACTTTCTGAGGACAATTTCAGTCATTTAGAGCATATTTCAGGATGTTATCTTTCTTCTGAGGCCAGTCTCTAGTAAGAACTATGCCAAGTCAATAAACTTGCTAAATTGACGATAGTATAAAGAAAAATATCTATCGAAATTTTAATCATTAGTTCATTTGTACTATCGTTGAGATGTGTAGAGCACTATAATTCAAGTCCATTTATTATTTGGGAGTGTAAAGTTGTATACCGATATCGCAATATAGTCATTTGGGTTGTAGCAGCTTGTATTGTTACACGCCTACATAATTTACTTGAATCCTCGGACAGATGGATAATTTTAATCTTCTCACTTTTACCATTTATATACGTCATCTTAAGTGTGTGTATGATGGTTTGCCTGTATATATACTTGTATTTGTGATGTATATATGTGTCGAGTCACGTTTTAATTAAATTGAATAGACACGTCTGTCTACTCCACTCATCTCTTACTGTCTGCTTGCATCAATGATGTATGACTTTTTCATTTTATTTGTTTTATTCCGTCATTCATTATCGCGATTAAATTTATCAAAGTATACAAAATTAATAAGGGAACTTAATTGCGTCATTCCTCAGCAACACCGACTGTGGTCGAAAACGAGCACTAGAATAACAAACCCAACGTGACAAACCGTGGTCCGTATTCGCCAAATACTCACCAACTCTTAGTTTTTGAAGCAGGCGTCTTTCTTCAAATTGTGCACCTCGGTCTGCGATTATTCTCCCCTATCGCACTTCGAAATTAGCTACCTTGTGTTATACTAATTTCCTTGCACTGTTTCGGCTGCAGTATTTTTTAACGGGATGAGTAGTACCAATCTGGTGAATCGATCAATACTGGTTAATATATGAGTTAAGTTATGGGGTGATGGGGTTCCGACAATGTCGAAACATGTACTCAAACTTCCAGCCTGGTGCAGAAAATCCCATAGATGGTACTTCTATGTATCGTCACACCTTTGGTTTCTGACATTGCATGCATGGTTTCATCTATATCTGTAAATGGCTACTTATATTTGTCCAAATGGATCTTTACTAGGTTTTCGCGCCACAATGAACTTTCTCGAAAATAAGGTGATACTTTGCAGCTTTAATACTGTCGCATTATAGTCGCAAAGTTCATTCAGTTCTGCATCAATTTCCTACAGCCTTGATATTTGGGTGTAATTTATTTCCGAGTTAGTTAAACTGTTAGTGCTGATCCTTGATAAAGCGTCTGAACATCATTTTTGCTCCCTTCTATGTGTTTGGTATCAGACGTTAGTTGCGATACAAATTCTTATCTTATGTCGTAAACTTTGAAATCTTTATATTCAGTATAGGCGTGAATTACTGTTGTATTTAGTTTTTCGTTAGGAAACAATTGGTCTTTTTTTTATTCCGTTTTTATGAATGCTGATCCTCTTAGAATATTCCCATCATTTCTTATTTGTAGGATCCAGCACTGAAGACACTCACTCTGATAAGGAGGATAAGACTAATGATATTGGGACACTTTCAGATTCTATCAAAGAATGCTTGAATATCGCAACACCGAATATTAACTCTTCTGTTCATAGCTGTTCAACAGAAACCAATATTTAAATATCTATTTTTTTTTAGATATTTTTTACTGACAAAATCAGATGTTATAAAAACGTTTATGAAATAGTTTATTCTTGTTATTTAAAAAGTTTGCTAAAACCTATTCTAAAATATCGAGTGTTAGTTTTCGTCCCGCTCAGGACTTGAAATGATCTACCGTTAGATAAAATGTATGTCATTCTTTTTTTTCGATTAGTTCATCTGGAATTTCTCTGTATAATTATGGATTATTCCTAGTTTCGGTGTTTGTATTGCTCTATATAGTCATTCACGTTGATTTTAAGATCTTCCAGTTTTTCTCTACTATAAGATGCAGTGATTGGGACCAAATTATTACTTTGCAGTGGATGATCTTGGTGGTTCTCCATAATTAGTGTAGCAACGCTATTATTAATATGGTAGCAGATTTTTAACTATAGTTCTTTAATCCATAGAGTAAACTCAATGATGCAACTAATACTTGGCATTTATTTTTGACACTTGATGTGATTCACTTGCCTTATATCGATTCATGAGATCGGCTTTAAGTCTCACTGATTTTGAGTAGGACTAGTAATACTACTTAAGTACTCAAACAGGCGTTAGCTGGAGCGCAAAACTGCACCCTAGGGGTTAGAAGTCGACATATCTAAACCACTAAGTTACGTGGACAGTTATTTTCAGTCGGCATAAAGATCATTGTACATGGCCTTTTCGTTCCCCGTATCCCAGATATTTTATTATAGTTGATATCTACAAGTAGACATGGAATTTCAAACCTCCAATTACTAATGACATTTTAGTAAAGCAAATTGACTTGTATTCGTTTTACAGTCTCCGGTACTAGACTATATAGGTGTTTTTAATCTAGTTTTGTATTTAAACCAACAAATTTACGTACTTGTACCGATTGTATTGTCTTCAGTTTTGATTTGATTCGTTTTATTTTCTGAGTATCCTTCGTTTCGAGTTATGTGGCAAATGTTTTGATAGTTATCGACATTAAATTCCAATCAAATCAGGTTTACAACAGAGGTTTTCACTTACACATGGTCTCACTTCATATCTACTCAAAGTTAAAGTGGTTAAATTACATCTTCAATGTGAATTGAAGTACTCCTAAATTATCATAGGGAAACGATATTTTATCGGGCAACTGTCTTTGCTTGGCAAGGCAATTATTCGAACAAATAATTTGTCACAGCTGTTTTTCATTAAGCTACTACGATAAAGCAGTCATGCGGTAATATTTAACTACAGTCAAACTAATGACTCAAAGCATGAGCGTGTATTATTTATTGAAAGGTACAAATTTTGCTAGTCATTTGTCCTGAAGTTTGGATACAATGGTTTATCGGGTGTAGATTCTTTACATATCACTAACTAATCAACTTAAACTGTGCCATGTTTTTTTTCTACCCAGTGTGAGTTTTGCAGTTTTACCCTTATCTTTATATTGTGTGAATTCACTGCGCTCATCTATTGTTTACCACCAGTCATGGAAAACAGTAATACTTAATACAGCATGAATGAAATCAAGAAGTGGTATGTATTTGATGGACCCAGCATTCCATAAGGTTCTCTCACCGTACTCGTAGAGGCTATTGTTCTGAAGTGTTATCGTTGGATATCCTTATGTACGTGGGAGCAAAGTAACTAAATTTCGGAAAAATGGATAGATAAATAATAGTGTTCATCACGAATTGCAGTTCGATATGAGTTCGTCAGTGGTGATTATCAGTGAGCCTAAATTGAAAGCTAACAGGTTTCCGTACTCTAAAACTTCCAATAGCTAAGGTTAACTTATTTTAAAACATTTTCAGCGAATCTCAAGTTGTGTGGCTAACAGGAAATTGTTTCGATCAACAATTTTCGGAAAGACCGTATCGGAACGTGAAGACAGCAATGACAATCATGGAGATGAAATTAAGTTTTACCTTTATTCCTCTTATCAGGAAACGAAACTCAATTTCCAAGTTTTTAGACGAATAGTTCAAGTATCAGTGACATAATGACAACTCAGCAGTTCCTTCTCGACGATCATTCATTCATTTAAAAAATTCAAATGATCAATTTTATGAAAGTCGCTTCTTATATTCTCATTTTAACCTGGAATTTTAATGAATTATGTAAATACAATCACCTGATAAAGTTTCAACATTAAAATTTAACTACTAAGTGGTAACATCCAGATATCTGAATAACTCAATTCACCCCAATATGTAAATCGCGAATACAGTGTACGTTGATGCCACTACCAGAAATTCCGTTCACCTGGGTCCAAAGATCAATTGAATCAGATATCGATAAGAAAGGGATGTAATTATGTGTTTGAGTAACGATCGAAATTCATGAAATCTTAGTTGACTAGTTTTGTCTTTACACTAGCCAATATACAAATGAATTTTGAATGACCAAAATATAACAATGGATAGAGATTGCTGCTTTATTATTGAAGGGGCACCCAATAGAGAAGGAAGAGCGAAGAGTACCGACCACCAATTCAAGACTCGTTGCTATATTTCAGACAATTATTTATACACACACAAAAACAGACCTCATTGCTCCAATAAATGGAAATTAAAAAGGTATAGATGAATGAGCCGAAAGTGGCAGTGAGTCATCTGAAACGTAGAACTTGGAGCTTGCGTGCACGAGTTCCAGTTGCCATAGCATATTAACACAGATGAAATTGTCAGCTTGAATCCCATGGTAGTAGAGATTGTAAAAGCAATAGCGGTAATCGAAAAGACTAGGCATCGAAGATATCGTTCGAGATATATAATACAGTAAAATGAATTTAGAGAAAAACGGTCATAAGGAATCCAGACTAGCATTTGGGAGAATGTACGAACCTGCGCCAATGCAAACAATTTTGAGCCATGTTGTTTGAGGTCGCTAACCATCGGTTACTATCGTCTCGCGGACCCCGACCAGGCAGTTTACATCTACTAACGTGACTCAATCCACTCGTCAGTGATTTTATAGATTTGTTTTATGTTTTAGTTTGGCCACCATTAGCCTTCTTTTAGTTTACCCCGACATCAGACAAAATCGCTCATCAAGGCAGTCGGTGGCTGTGTATGTCCTAACTACCTCAGCTGAAGAAGATTAACTACCTCATCCAATGATTTGACATCCTTAACTAGTGCCTTTTTCCCGGCACCAGGATAAACGAGCAATGCTTTGAAGACGTCTGTGATGGAATACTAATAACTTATGATTATCCTCTACTCTTAGTGGCTATGTTTCACAACCATAAAGTAAGACAGAACGAATGTCTGTGCCGTAGAGTTGTCCTTTGGTTATCAAAAAGATATTCCGCCTACACCATATGTGAAACACGATGGCAAAAGCCAGTCGAGCCTTCTGTATCCCTGCTGAGGTTTCGTCAGTCACCAGGCCTTCAGCCCTGATGAGACTCCCGAGATAAGTGAAGCGGTCAACACGCCCAGCTACCTCACTCTGTATCGATATTTTAGACGTCGATGCAAGCTAATCCTTAGGCAGCGTTTTGCATTTCTACTGGAAGAATCGCATCCTAACATGCATGCGTTGTTGCTTGGGGTAGTAAGGAAGCCCTGTACTTTGTTAGCGTCTTTACCAAGAAGAACTATGTCATCAAAATACTCGTCGAAAACCAGCCTGGTTCTGCTCTTCATAAGCTCTTGTTAGGCGTCTAAGTATAATCGAGGCTAACAATTTAGAAACTATTAGTTAGACTGATTCCCCTGTGATTGTCACAAGAAGACTTTTGTCTTTTCTTATAAATTGGGACAATCAGGGATTGAGACCAGTCGAATGGGATTACGTCCGGTTCCCGAATTCTGCCTAAGATCTCAGTCAGTCTAAGTGCTAAAACTGGACCGCCATCCTTAAAAATCTCAGGCGTCAATCTACTAGAGCCTGCTGCTTCCTTTCGCTTAAGATTCCGTTGTAGTACCTCCATATGCATTTTAGTTCGCTCATATATATATTTTCAGTTTAATATTGGTTATGTCGTTATTTTATTTACGACAAGAGCTTTTTCAGATAACTACTAATAGTGTCCAATTTATTCAAAAGTTAGGCTCAAAAATACTATTCTATTATAGTGTATGTAAGTGCAAAAGAAAACATATAACGTTTAGCCGTCCGGTTAGTTATATTGCAAAGACCGATTACGGACTAATTATGCTTTTTACATCCAGATAAATTCTACTATGGAAACCACATAGAACTCTTTTTTATTGGTCTTTACTCTTAGATTTATTCTTACTCTTTCCTAAAGCAGATGAGGTTGGGTAGTGTTTTCATGATCAATTGATTTCGTCTTGGTGTTGACGGTATACTAGTGCATTCCTCTCAATTCATAGTTTTATAATATAACTGACTAATTCTGCTGTGAAAAGAAGGTAGCCTAGTTGTTAGATCACCTACTATCTAGTCGCTGATTTACAGGCTTGCTCTCTGTTATCTGTTTTCATACTAGATGGTATGGTCAATCAGTCGATCTTAAGTGCAGTACATGAATGCTTGCTTGATTATGAAGTCTTGAGATTTCACGTAATAACTTCCACATTTGAAACCATCAATCAATCATTGTTAACCCACCATTAGAAACCTGGAAGCATTGGTAGTCTAACAATGATTGATTGATGATTTCAAATGTGTAAAACACTTATCTCCATAACTCTAATTGAAAAGTATTAACTTCCCCTTTGACATAACATCACCTGTAGTAAGAAAGTGTGTTAATGAAGCATTTCCATCCTAAATAATTACATAGTTCCCTGAAAATAAATGTCATCAAAAGAATGAGTTTAACAGAATTAAAATAGATGGTTAAGACCCAGTTCCATTAATATTGATAATTTGCATATGATAGAAAAACATCTATAAATTTTATTTTATTTTTGTCATTTTACACTTTCGGTTAGTTATAGACAGTTAAACAAATTAGTCCATTTGAATCATAAAACTAATCATTTCGAAAATGAACTAATTATTGTTTTGTCACTTATCGATTAACTTGTTATATT